TAGAGATGGCGCTACCAGGTAGGAGAAAAAGAGGAGATATATGGATGCAGTGAGGGAGGATATGCAGATAGTTGGAGTCAGAGTAGAAGATGCAGAGAACAGGGAGAGATGGAAAACACTGATTCGGTGTGGCAACCCCTGAAAAAGGGACAAAGCCGAAAGAAAAAGAAGAAGCAGTTTCGCTTAGTTAATACTACCGAAAACACTGTTCTTGATGGCGAATCTAGCGATGGTTTGGCTGTGTTGCCGGGAGCCAAAGCAGCTGCTGCCGTACAGGGCTGCGTTGAATGATTTTTACATTTTACAGCTTTAAGGTGTAGCTTGAACCATGGAACAGACTATTTCCTTTGGAGCAATATTTTAAAAAATGCTCACAGAAGACCTGAGGCGATTTATAATGACTTTTACACTGTTAATTAAATGAACATGTACACTTGTATATAAATGTAAATATTAATGTACATAATCAGTTTAAGAAACAGTTATAATGCTTAGGAAGATGAATCTCACAAACATACACATTGTTGGAACATTAAATTTAGTTACTAATTTTTATTACCATTTAATACAAAAACATCAGTGTATTGATGCAGCCCCTACCCCAGCCATCATCCTCCTTCTGCTCAGTCACCGGTACTTTCACTAACACCAGCTCAGAAGAAAGTCACACATAAAAAACAGAATTACACACACAAGACAGCCACTGGCTCTATACAACTACAAATGAAACAAGTTCATTAGAAAACAAGCCCACGATTTTTTATTTCCTTTTTGTTTTACAAAAAGTAGTGTAGGCTACAGGCAACACAGGAAAGGAGCATTTATATTCTCTTCATGGCATCATCAATGTCTGACATCTGGTGCTTGAGCTGGTTCCATTGTTCAGGATTGAGGGAGATACCTGCAAAGTAGACAGAAATAAACTTTAGTTTCAATGCACAACTGCAAACCACTAAAAGATCAAACATCATGTTGTGATAATCACACAGATGTGAGCTGTGTGTGACACTTATACTCTTATAAGTCATTATACACATATAATTTGCAGCATGTGTACTAATTACCTTTCTTGCCCGGCTTCATCTCCCCATTTGCATTCATCCAGTACTCTCTGATGTCAATCAGGACTTTGCCTTTGAACTCCCGCACACTGACATACCTCATCTTTCCAATCTGAAAGAAGCAAACCGGTTGTCAAACCGCTGTCAGCTGCTCTGTTAGAAGTTTCCTGTCTTTTAATCACCGTTAGAGATTAAACATAGAAGTATAGCAGTGAAGGCTGAGCCTGTTTCTTGTTTAAAAATGTTTAAGGGCTTCTTTATCCTTTGGTGTAACTGTTTTATCTGAGACAAGCTGTCTAGAGACATTTTGTCATTTTACAGCTGCAGGTAGTAAATCCTCTTAGGTTACCTTTATCAGGTATCACTAAGGCTGATGCCTTCATTTAAACATGTGCAACTCCTACCTTACTCTTTTACCAATTTCTCATCTTGGTTCAAACAGCTCATTCAAAGTAATTTACTTGGCACTTATTTTAAAAAAACAGAAAAAAAAAAGATACAAAACATTAACTGCTGTAACTGCTGTCCTACCCACATCACAAAGTGTCATCTGTAGTCTTCAACATCCCATTTCTCTTCAGCTCTTTTTCTTAAATTCATTTAACGTGTTTAGACGTCTCAGACTTTGAACACTGGCTGCTGATTGGAATTGAACCGTCAGAAAAATTGCAGATCAACTCCATCGGCTCATATTAGGTTGTTGGTGTCTGCTGTTTGCCATCACCCACACATCCTACTGCTTCCTGTGGTTTGTGCTAGAGTTGTCTCAATACCAAAATGAGTAACCATAATACTATACCAGACGAAGTATCACAGTTCCAGGTATTATTGCGATACTGCAGCCTTTTTTTATTATTATTTTTATGAACTGCAATGTATTTGTACAAGTTATAAATACTTAAATAGTAATATTAATTACTTATAATGTTGTTTGGTGCATCATAAACATAATACTGGTGAAGTAAGAATTAAAGAAAGACGTAAGAAGTAAGAAATCTTTTTATGAATAACATTTATTAAAAAGTCAAAATTGAAAAAAAAACAAACAACAAAAACAAACAGATCCACTGGCCTTTTCTCTGCATGTTTGTGTGTCTAGTCAAACTTTGAGGTATCTCAGTGTGTTGCAGAGTGTCCTGCTCCTCAATGTCCTTCATGAGATGTTCTTCCACCTCAGGTGTCATCGCCACAAAGGTGTCTTTGAAACGAGGATCAAGATATGTGGCACAGTTAAAAATAATCTGTAAATCCTTGTATCTTTTTTGAGATCCTCTAGAACTGTCTCCTTCATTTCATGGCACAGGGGGGGCATCATCATTAGATGCAGCAAGGCAAGAGGATATGTCCCACATAACCACTGCAGAGATTGTGGGGAGTTTCTCTCCACTGAGACATCTGTGAACCTTCGCAGTGGTCCAAGCACCTCCTTCACTGTTTCAAGTGTGGTGATGTCACTGTCATGAGATGGCATGAGATGCCATTTCTTTCTCTCGCTGGCCAGGGCAGCACTAACAGCCTGCTTCTGCTCCAAGAACCTCTCTACCATGTCATAACCAGAGCTCCAGTGTGTTGGTGTATCATGAAGCAGCTTTTTCTGAGGTAGACCCAAGTCTGCCTGTTTTTCTAGCAGTAGCCTGGAAATCTTTGGTGACCTGGAAAAAGCAGAGAGTTTTCCGTAGTCTGGATAAGGCGGATGAAACCCTGTCGATAGCCAGCGCTTTGTCAATGGCCAAATCGAAATTATGTCCAAAACATGGTATCCAGGTGAAAAGGCTTTTATGTTTTTTGATGCATTGTCAGTAGTGACAGCTGACATCTTGTTTCTGTCCATATTCCAGTCTTCCATCGTTTCATCCAGGGCTTCCAGTAGGTTTTCAGCATTGTGGTCACTGTTTATCTCAGAGCACCCCAAGCACCATGCATCCATCTCCTAGATGTTATCATCTGCACAGTGATGGTCATGTAGGCATCCATGGCCCTGCTGGTCCACAGATCAGTAGTACAGGAGAAGTACTTGTTGAGTCCTGACAGCTGCTCCATAACTGCCTCTCTAGTTTCTGTGTAAAGCCTGGGTATTTCTTTATACACGAAGACATTTCTCCCAGGAAGCTCATATTTACTATTTAATTTCTTCACCAATTCCTTAAAGCCAGACTTTTCCACTGTGTATAGTGGAATTTGGTCCAAACATATGAATTCAGCCACTGCTCTGTTCAATGTTGTGGCTTCCTTTGAAGTTGGCTGATATACTTAAAGACCAAAATAGTTCTAAATGTGACATTTGTAGTTTTGCCGCGGCAGACTTGCTGCTCGGGCCCGGTGCTTCTGCCATGGTGTGTGTTGTCTCGTGTTTGTGACCGAAAGCCGTGCGCGTGTCTCGGCGAGACAGCCAATCAGCTAACAGACGGGTGGACCCAGCGTACGGAAACAGCCTATCATATCCCCGACGTCACCAGTAACAGGCAAACAACCAATCATTCAGCAGCTGTCTGGTTCGGTTGCAGTAGTTGCCATGTGGATTTGTTTACAAGAGAGTAGCATGCAGTGAGAAGCCGGGAGGAGAGTAGAGGCGGCAAACTGGCACCAGTGTATAGTAATCCACGGTAGTACTGTCATGTAGGATTTCTAGTATAGTAGGAACCGTTACGATTTGCCACCGTGGGTGCAACTGCCTTTTGTTAGTTTATCCATCCCAACATCGCCGCTAAATGTTGCCCACTTTCCTCCAAATAATGCTCTTCCCATCTGATTTTGAATATTTCACATTTGATTCTAATTGTTTTTTTCCATTGCCTACAATACAGATGTACTCCATCTATTTGGAGATACCCACCTGGAACATGTTGTCATCACCGTTACCACTGCCCCCGGATGAGCCACCTGGCTTAGAGCTCTCCCCACCTTTTGCTTTCTTTGATGGTTTCTCTTGAACACTGGGCTTCTTTCTTTTCGCCTGATACAAACAGACCAAAGTATATTATTTAGATGTGTGTTTGTTAAGGGACTTGAGATTAGTGAATATTTTAACAGCTCTTAATTCAAGTGTTCAGAGTGAAACCAGGACATGTTCTGACAGACGGTGGTTATCCTCTTGCCATAAAATGTGGAATGTGAGATGCTTGTGTTGTCCCTTTCAATAAAATTAAGGCTTAAATTCTATTAATGGTGTTTGACTCAGGTTTCCGGAATTACCTGCCACAGCAAGGGATAAAATTCAGTGTTTGTTTGTTTGTTTTTTGTTAGATAATCAAAGTACTTAAAAACAAACCTTCTTCTCCGCTTTACTGTCAGAGTCACTTCCAGATGTGGAAGAGAGCACTTCCTTTGATTTTGGCATTCTGTTGAGATAGAAGTCAAACCATTGAATAAACAGCACTCTCAGGTGCATGTTCAACAGTAACACATGCAGCCAGAAGACCTCAACTATTTATTGTGACAAAATCCTTAATAAACTTTTAAAGGACTGGCCAAATTAATATTGATGGATTATCACCTCAATAATGCACTCCAGAAAAACTCAAACAAACTCTACTTTATACCTTAGTGCTCAGCACTGTGTACCTCCAACAAACTTGGAAAATGTTCCATATGCTCTATCTAGTATCTTAACCTCTACATCACTTTAAAGAATCATAAAATTACACACATTGTACAACACATTCTATAGTACAAAACAACCAGACTCGACCGATAGATTATTCCACAGGGATGGTGGGAACTGTGCCTTATTGGCATCTTTTGAGCTAACAACTGTCACTCCATTATTCTATTTTCACTGAACAATATTAGTAGCCACGAACACCCCAAGCTTTAGTTCAAGGGACAGCAAAAGTAAGGTCAGGCAGGGGGGAATGTTGCTTCAAATAAACACACTACTATATACTGTATGTATTACCTTTTTATAATAAAACTGGGGATTACTGCTGTATAATTTTATTTTAAGTATTTTTTCATAATGCTGTAAATGTTACCTGTTGTTAGTTTTTCCCAGTGTGTGGAAGTGCTGCTTCGTGTAAGAATGAAGCAGATTCCTACTAGTTAGCAGGAACTAGACCTAATGATTACAGTCATGTTTACAATATAACAGAAAATTAGCAAAACAAATTGTTATACCAGGAGTGTTTATTTGACTCTCGCTTAATATTTCTTGTCAATCGAGTCTATACAGTATACAGTGAAAACAATTTACCGTCTTTTTTTTTTGGTTGAATGATATAGCGCTTCTCTCTACTAAAGCAGACAATTTATTCCGCTATAGTGACAGACTTGAGTCTAGCGTCATTGTAAATACTTTATGCTACACAAGAGCATAAGGATGACCACGAGGAAACGAAACCACGGAAGTTCAGCAGCGACGTTAAACCGCGCTAACTGCACACTTTAGCTGCGGCGGCTAACGTTAGCACAAAGAAGCTGCGTCGCTGGCGACCTGGTTCTCATTCTGGTCATCACTGACACTGTGCATTATTGGCCCAACAATTAAACACAAATATTTCTTAACATCAAGACAAAAACACAAATATACGAGCGTTCTAATATTATGTTTAAGCTATGGACGCTTACATGACAAGATGCAGCGCCGCGCCTTTCTTTACCGGAACCGGAAATTACACTTTCCGAAGACGTTCAGGCGTTGTTTTTTTAGTCACTTTTTCGTTAGTCGGAATATTTTTTCTTTATTCACTTGTTTTACTTTCGTTTGATCCAAGGACAAAGAGAAATATATAAAAAATATAATTAATCATTTAACCCCCCTGTTGTCCTCCGGTCAAAATGACCACTGTGTTAAAAACCAAATAAAAATCCCCTAAACAATAGTTTTTCAACTTGTAATTTGATGACTTTTCCTAGATTGACCCCAACATTAGAAAAAGTGAATTATTTTATTCATATTTCCATTTAAGCTGTACAAAAAGGTATAAACATTGACAGTCAAATTGAGTTGAAATCATAGTCACAGAGTTAGTTATACACCACAGAATGTGTGTGTTTTAGTTCTGTCTCAGATCAGTCAATAGCAGACGTAAACAACTGCCTGTGACCCGATCTGACCCAAATGTAACAATATTGCCCCTTTTTTTGTGTGGAATCCCAGAAGCTATATAGGTGCTGCAGATGACAGTACTCCGAATTCTCTCTGTGCCAAAGCCATGAGTGTGCGTTATAACATTGAACAGGCTTGAGAGCTGATTTTTTCAGATGTCCAACAACAAGGGAGGAATACAACCCAGAGCACGATAAATCATCTTCAGAAGAAGAGGAAATCCCTGAAGCTGAAAGAGAGACTTTCCTTTCAAAAAACATCAAAATAACACAGTCCTTGGCAGCATATGGCAAACACGGCAGGGTGGCAGAACAAAATGTCGGTATGCCGGGACCCACAAGATATGCTCATCATGCCCATGACATTGTCTCAACACTCTACCTGTTCATCACACCAGGAATGGAAAAAATAATCCTGGAGATGACAAATCTGGAGGGTTTTCGCAAATATGGAGACAGCTGTAAAAGGATAGATGAGACTGACCTGCATGCCGACTTAGGGCTGCATTCAAAACTCCTTTTTGAACATTTCTATTCTTTCCTAAGCTATAGAAATACTATACAAATATTGCTTACCACCTATACAGTAAACAATAATAAAATTGACAGTGTCATAGCAACGAGTATTGTCTTGAATAAATGCAGTATTTCTGCCAGGTGAAGAGGGAAAACTCAAGTATTCACACAATTTGTGGTGAATGAGAAGTTTCTTCTTCAAGCAAAATAAGATTTGGTGTTTAAAATTCAATTCAGCTGCTTATATTGGGGCTTTAGTGAAGACAGGTCATTTTGACCCGGAGGACACGGGGTGTATACAGAGATTCCGTCTCTTCAGAGATTCCGTCCCTCCGGGGAGGAGCGCTTATTTCATATGCAAATGATGCATGAGTTGTGCACGAGTCGGCTGCTGTTGAGTGTACTAAACAACAACAGCCTGTTAAAATCTCAGATGTGAGGAGAGAGCATGACTCTGATGATGAAGTGGAGAGTGCCAATACTTCTGCCTCCACATCAGGCAGACGGCATACCAGTGCCACAATCACTCAAGCCACAGCTACAGCAGCAGCCTCTGTTACCACTGGGCCCACATCTTTGCCTGGCCAGGCACCTGGTAAAACAATCCCTGCTGCTACCACAAAATGTAAACAAACGTTTCTCAGTCATTACTTCACAGCTCCTGTCTTGACCCCATTGAGACAGGGGATAATAGATGAAGAGCTGGCAAAGATGATAGCCACTGACTTCCAGCCATTTAAAATTGTGGAAGACAGAGGTTTTATAAACTTCTGCTATGCTCTCAACCCCTCCTACATTCCTCCATGTCGGAGGGTACTGACCCAGAAAGTGTCAGATATGTATGAGAGAGAAGCAGTATCACTCAGGAGAAGGGTGTCCAAAGTGTCAGCAGTTTGCTTAACAACTGACTGTTGGATGTCAAGGGCTACAACCTCATTCATGTCTGTAACATGCCACTTCATTGAAGATTTCTCACATGTCCTCCTACCTTCTGGACTGCTTTGAATTTAATGAGAGGCACACAGCAGACAACTTGGCAAAGAAGCTCCTCAGTGTTGCAGCAGAGTGGGTGGTTGACAAGAAAGTGGTATGCTGCTTAACAGACAATGTTGCAAACATCACAGAGGCCATTCAGATAACAGGATGGACCCACCTCCCGTGCCTGGCACACACCATACATCTTGTGGTAAGAGATGCCCTCAAAAGTCCGCAACCCATCATCAATAAAGTTAAGGAGGCAGTGGAATACTTTCATAGAAGCACAGTGGGAGCATAAAAACACAGTGCCAAATGAAGATGGACGAACTATGACCAGAACAGGACTGTATCACAAGATGGAACTCAACATATTACATGTTGCAGATTTTCCTCATCAACAAGAACCCCATTGTCTCCACCCTGGCCGTCACCAATGCACCTGTCCACCCTTTATCTCCAGAAGAATGGACTACATTGCAGGAGATATGTACCCTCTTGAAGCCATTTGAAGAGGTCACTGTTGAACTCCGTGCAGAAAGGTATGTAGTTCAACTGGTCAGTGGTAGTTTTCTATAGCATGCATGCAAATGAGCTGATACTAAATTATGAATATTTGATACATAATATACTGTGTAATACATCATAGTATTTATTATTGTTGGTACAACTTTATAATTGTATTGTTTTAATAACATTTATCTTTTTTCTCACTAGCTACCTGACTGCCTCCAAAGTAATATTGCTGGCCAGGGGACTGCAGAGAGCCACTGCTGATTTCCAGAGGAGAGAACTCGCTTTCTTCTGGCATGTCAGCTAGATTCCATAGAATGGAATCCAACTACATCCTTGCAGATGCTGCTGCGCTTGACCGAAGATTCAAAAGGATGGCATTCATGGATGGCAGAACTGCAGATGAGGCCTTTCAAAGAGTATCAACTGCAGCAGCAAGACTCACAATTAGCAGCAGCGAACCCATCCAGCAACCGGTTCAAGAGGAAGGAGCAGGCAGTGCTGAATCAGTTGTTTGGAGCTATTTCCATGAGGAAGTAAGGATGGCAAAAATCATCATCACAATTTTTTCTCTAAATCTAGGATGACATCTGTCTAATACCACAAAAAAAAAAGTTTTATCTCCCACCCTATTGTTGTATCTCCCACCTCTATGAGCAGGTAGCTGGAACAGTGGCAACTCGGAACCCCACAGCAAATGCTGTCATGGAGGAGCCTCTTGTTCCAAAAAATGAAGATCCTCTCAAGTGGTGGAAAAGTTGGGTGCCTGTGTATCCCAGACAAACTCATAGCTAAGAAGCTTTGCGTTGTGGCCACATCAGTTCCATCTGAGAGAATCTGAGAGAAGGAAAAGTCGCCTCAAGCCTGCAAAAGTGAGGGCACTTGTCTTCCTCAAGGCAAATTTGCCGAAGGACAAGAAGGAGAGGCCATAAAGCATGGAACTGCTTTATAATTTTGGGGATTTGATTTATTTTGTTTACTCTTTATTTTGTTATTGGGGTTATGGTTCAGAGCTTTTTTTTTTTACAAAGTAACTATATGCACCTCAGGGAAGTTCACTAGTCCATTGTACAGTTTGTAGTAGTACTAGTGGGCTGTATGCACATTTCTTTGTATTGTTATCGTTTTCGTTATTGTAGCTTCATTGTAGCCTGCTTTTTTATTGTGCATTTATCAGTGTTTAGGTGTTGCATGAATAACATAAGTCAAAATAGATTTATACACATACAAACACTATACATAGGGTAAATAGTGATCTCACTGTCAACTCAGAGGGATATGGTAGTGGAATATTTACAATGAATCCATATCAGACTTTAAAATCTTGTCCACACATGCCAAATGAAGCTATAATCAATATTTCAGAATAATTCAAACTCAGATATTGGTGGGAAATCTGAGTTCGAAATTATTCTGATCCAAATCTCAGCCCATCATTCCTCCCTGTGATTATTTCCAGGATAAAATTAATTAACCCCGGGCTGGCTTCTTAAAAGTAAATAAATACAGAAATGAGCCAAATGAGCCAGTCTTTTGAATGGCTCTTTCAAATGAACGGATCCCAAAGATCCAGCTCCCTCCAAAGAGCCATAAATCCCATCACTAGTCTATAGTAAGCACATAATTCAAAAAGAGATATGCAAATTGTAAAGAGATTTATTTGCAAAACTCAGAAAACTCAGGCTCCAAAGTCCATGGAGAAGTAAAGCCTAACATGTACAGAAACACTTTTCACTAAAAAAGAAAGACTAGCATAGTAGGGTATTTTAAGATCAATTGTGGAAATAAATGTAAAGCAGCAGATGTGAACTTATTGGCTTTTTAAAGAGGTTTCTGAATACGTTATTACCATTGATGTTATTTCCTTTTGCTGGTCAAAGCTGTCTAGCAAAATCTCAAAACAAGCTTTCCCTCAGCAAAACTTGACATCAGAAAACAGACATTGTACTGCTTTAAAATAAATCCTTAAGTTTAAGTTAACAAAATGCATGTCCTATGGTAGACAATAAACTGTTTAGAAAACAGTGACACCAGCCAAAAGATAACATTTTTCAGATAACATTTTTGGAATTAGTCCTATTTTTTGACCAACTTACATTTTTATTAAACATTTTCAAAAAGGCAGATTTAATGCATTCACTCAGTTGAAGAGCCAAACTTGAATCAAAATATCACTAAATGTATAATGCTAACTACTTTGTGGTCAGATATTGAATTTTGTAGACAAAGGGGATAAATATATGAAAGATAATATATGTTGAGTTTAACCCATAGAGTTTAGTTGTAAGCAACTGGAACTTTTCTTTGAGCTTGGAAGACATTAACAGTCGATAACATGACCTGGATGAATGAGAGTCTTTACAGACATTTTGAGTTTAAGCATTTTAATAGATCATAATATCCCATCGTGAATTATTGTTAGATGAAAAGCAAACATTTATGCATTTAGCAGACACTTTATCCAAAGCAACTTACAGAGGAGGATTAACATTATCAAGCATGTGGTTCCTTTGGGAATTGAACCCAGGACTGTGCTCTCTGCCTCTGCTACACTATGGAAAAACCTTTAAATATAAACATGACAAAAGTCTCTTGTTCATCTGAAGAGGCTTTGAGGAGGTTCTGTGCTAAGCAGCAGTGTTTTTGTCTACTTTTGTCTTGGGTTTTCTTTGACTACTTGTGAAATGTATTCACTAATGTTAGCTGCATCCTTGAGAGCCTGCATCACCAGAGCACTTCTTCTCTTGGCCTCCTCCTGTGCTTGCTTTGATCCAGGGAGGTTCTGATGAATAGCAGAAAAATCCATCAAAACATTTCATACAAACATTTAACTATCAGTCTATCTATCTATCAATCTATATCTATCAATGAAACAAAGCCGGTTTAACATCCATCTATCCATCCATTTTCATCCGCTTATCCGTTACCGGGTCGCGGGGGCAGCAGTCACCACCCAAATCACATTGCACCGTACCAACCCCCCTAAACCTTCCTGCGGGTGATGAGTCCACTGGAACCGGTTTAACACATCTGCTTAATATATTCAAAATAAAATCAGAGAAAATATAGATACATTTTGTGTAGAAATATTAATGGACTCTCCTCTTCCCTCACTTAATTAAAAAAAACATTTGAAACCATGTTGCAAGGATTGTCGCCCAAAGGGTATTTTATGTTTTAAAGATCTGTTTATCAACAACAGTTTAGCATCATTTGAACAACTGAGTGAAAAATTCAGCCTCCCTCAGTCATTATTATATACTTTTAGATACAGTAATTGAAACTGCTGTTCCGAACAACCAATGATACATAAAGGAAAATCTTGAAAATGATCAGGGGTGCCCAAACTTTTTCATACCACTGTATTTTCAGGCAAGGCATTTTAGTTTATCTAAATCGTCTAGCTCTAAAGCATCTACAGATCCAACAATTGTTGACACAGTTCTGTCTTTAAATTCATTAATGAGATAATCTCAGTCTTCTACTGAACGTTGTATTGTCTAATTATTCCGATAAGTCTGTACTGTGTCAAATCCAAATTAGTACAACTTCTCTTATTGGAGGGACATTTTTCATACACTTTTGCAAGTGTTTACCATTAAATTAGAACTGAACCTCATGACTGCTCTGTTTGGGTTCAGTAAAACGAACATCTTTATTCTCCACTTTTCTTCTGGCTTGCAAGCAATTCTGCTCAAGTGGAGAGATGAATTCACTCTAACTTAGGCACAATGGCTGAAAAACACCATGTCCTGCTTCAAACCGGAGAAAATCAGATACTGACTTCAGCATTCAAATAGGAAAGTCCAGAAAGAGTGGGGTCCTTTCTTAAAAGTATTCCAGACCCTATAAAAGCTTGATCATTGCATGGTTAACTAAACTGCACAGTGGTAATGACTGGAAAGGGATTTTTTAAATATGTAATTCATTTTCTAGTTTGTTTGTTTGTTTCATTTTTGTTTGATACATTTATCTTTATTATTATTTCTTTGAGTGGTGCTTTGGCCCAGAGGCAATGTGTCTATCATTGGTGTGGAACCCCTGGGTTCACCTCCTGGGCAAGTTCGAATCCATACAGTGCAGTGTGATTTGGGTGGCGACTGCTGCCCCTGTGACCCGGTAACAGATAAGTGGATGAAAATGGATGGATGGATTATTTCTATGTGTAAAGCTTTGCACGTTTTTGAATAATTTGTCTGTAATATCCACTCAACATTGTACTTTTAATATTTTTTTAAGTTTCAATAAAAAAAGATATTAGATGAAACATATTAATGGGCTTAGTAAAATTAACGTGATGACGAAAGTATTTTTTCAGCTGTAATGTAGGTTCGAAGGTAGAACAAAAAACTGTTTCGTGATGGAGTTCTCAATCTGACAAATTTGAGGGTTTTGTATCACAATGTAGTTTCTATATGCACATTAGAATAGCCCGGACAATGATATTATGATAATATAATAGGTAAATATTATTATATTATTTATATTCTATTATTATTCTTATTTCTGATAACGTCGAAATATAAAAACACTAAGGAGATTATAGTCGAGCCACAAAATGTATATTTACGTTTGACAAATTATTTGGTAAATTATTTGGTAGCAATTTAAGTCTTTTAAATTAAAATAATAACGACATATGGGAACTCACACCAGAGCTTAATTTATCGGTCATTTTTTTTCTGCACATGCGCTGCCGCAGTCTTAGTTCCGGGTACGACATGCATTATAAATAGGCTGGTGTAGAACTCGGGTGTCGGTGAAATATACGAAACCAATGATTCCTATATGCCCTGTAGTCTCCTTCACCTATGGTAAGTATCACTTTAAATGTCGGAAATATTGTGTTGTTCTAACGACATATGAAGTATAAATGTACTGTCAAAGTGCACGGTTAGTGGCGAGTCCTTGGAAAATTCACTGTCAGCTAATGCTAACTGAGGCTTCTCCTGTATGTCTGTCTTCTGCAGTGCCTAGCCGGCTTGGTGAGGATGCCAAAATGGCTACCGGCAATTATTTTGGATTTACCCATGGCGCTGCTGCCCAGTACAGGTGAGATGACCTGTTGATCCGTCTACCAACAAACTTGGTGTTTTTCTGTGTTGTGTAGGTTTATGCAGACAGACGCCATTGTTCAGGCTGGGGGAGGGGGTGCTGCTCTCTCTGCTGCAGCAGACCACACTGTACATGGCACTGCGTCACTCAGTCAGACCGCTGCTTGTGCTAATACGTGTTGTACGCGTCCATTTTTAGCTCTTTCAAACCAATTAAGTAACTTGACTAACTACTTTTACTCGGAAGGTAACCGTAACAATTTGGTATTGACCGTTTAGTGTAGATAATTGAGTATTAAGTATTTATTTGCAGCGAAATATGTATGGTTAAATGTTATTGGGTTAAGATGTATGTATCTCTTAACCCAATAACGCTAGCGTATCCACACAACTAGAACATTATTAATTTATTCCATCCATCCATCCATCCATTTTCATCCGCTTATCCGTTACTGGGTCGCGGGGACAGCAGTCGCCACCCAAATCACATTGCACCATACCAACCCCCCAAACCTTCCTGCGGGTGGTGAGTCCACTGGAAGGGGGTGGCGACTGCTGCCCCTGTGACCCGGTAACAGATAAGTGGATGAAAATGGATGGATGGATTATTTCTATGTGTAAAGCTTTGCACGTTTTTGAATAATTTGTCTGTAATATCCACTCAACATTGTACTTTTAATATTTTTTTAAGTTTCAATAAAAAAAGATATTAGATGAAACATATTAATGGGCTTAGTAAAATTAACGTGATGACGAAAGTATTTTTTCAGCTGTAATGTAGGTTCGAAGGTAGAACAAAAAACTGTTTCGTGATGGAGTTCTCAATCTGACAAATTTGAGGGTTTTGTATCACAATGTAGTTTCTATATGCACATTAGAATAGCCCGGACAATGATATTATGATAATATAATAGGTAAATATTATTATATTATTTATATTCTATTATTATTCTTATTTCTGATAACGTCGAAATATAAAAACACTAAGGAGATTATAGTCGAGCCACAAAATGTATATTTACGTTTGACAAATTATTTGGTAAATTATTTGGTAGCAATTTAAGTCTTTTAAATTAAAATAATAACGACATATGGGAACTCACACCAGAGCTTAATTTATCGGTCATTTTTTTTCTGCACATGCGCTGCCGCAGTCTTAGTTCCGGGTACGACATGCATTATAAATAGGCTGGTGTAGAACTCGGGTGTCGGTGAAATATACGAAACCAATGATTCCTATATGCCCTGTAGTCTCCTTCACCTATGGTAAGTATCACTTTAAATGTCGGAAATATTGTGTTGTTCTAACGACATATGAAGTATAAATGTACTGTCAAAGTGCACGGTTAGTGGCGAGTCCTTGGAAAATTCACTGTCAGCTAATGCTAACTGAGGCTTCTCCTGTTTGTCTGTCTTCTGCAGTGCCTAGCCGGCTTGGTGAGGATGCCAAAATGGCTACCGGCAATTATTTTGGATTTACCCATGGCGCTGCTGCCCAGTACAGGTGAGATGACCTGTTGATCCGTCTACCAACAAACTTGGTGTTTTTCTGTGTTGTGTAGGTTTATGCAGACAGACGCCATTGTTCAGGCTGGGGGAGGGGGTGCTGCTCTCTCTGCTGCAGCAGACCACACTGTACATGGCACTGCGTCACTCAGTCAGACCGCTGCTTGTGCTAATACGTGTTGTACGCGTCCATTTTTAGCTCTTTCAAACCAATTAAGTAACTTGACTAACTACTTTTACTCGGAAGGTAACCGTAACAATTTGGTATTGACCGTTTAGTGTAGATAATTGAGTATTAAGTATTTATTTGCAGCGAAATATGTATGGTTAAATGTTATTGGGTTAAGATGTATGTATCTCTTAACCCAATAACGCTAGCGTATCCACACAACTAGAACATTATTAATTTATTCCATCCATCCATCCATCCATTTTCATCCGCTTATCCGTTACTGGGTCGCGGGGACAGCAGTCGCCACCCAAATCACATTGCACCATACCAACCCCCCAAACCTTCCTGCGGGTGGTGAGTCCACTGGAAGGTATTAACCGCCCTAACCGGGATTCGAACTTGTCCAGGAGGTGAACCCTGGGGTTCCACACCAATGACAGAGACATTGCCTCTGGGCCAAAGCGCCACTTATTAATTTATTCTCTACCCCTTAATACTTACAGGGGTCACTCAATCCCAGCTCTTCGCCCAGTCACTGGGCAGGGATGGGTGTAACCTAGACAGTTCACCAGTCTAAATAACCATACATATTCATACTAATACTGATGGTCAATTTAAAGTGTTTATTTACAAGATGCCTTGTTAGAGTAAAACCCACTTACACACAGGGAGAGCATGTAAACTCAGGGCCCAAATTACCACGTGCATGTACCAGTTTGTGCACATAAAATTGGAGCGGTGCACCTAATTTGGTACCCAACTTGCACCAGTGTAAGTACACTATATTACCAAAAGTATTCGCTCACCTGCCTTGACTCATACTATGAACTGAAGTGCCATCCCATTCCTAACCCAGAGTTCAATATGATGTCGGTCCACCTTTTGCAGCTATTACAGCTTCAACTCTTCTGGGAAGACTGTCCACAAGGTTGAGGAGAGTGTTTATAGGAATTTTTGACCATTCTTCCAAAAGCGCATAGGTGAGGTCACACACTGATGTTGGTCGAGAAGGCCTGGCTCTCAGTCTCCGCTCTAATTCATCCCAAAGGTGTTCTATCGGGTTCAGGTCAGGACTCTGTGCAGGCCAGTCAAGTTCATCCACACCAGACTCTGTCATCCATGTCTTTATGGACCTTGCTTTGTGCACCTTGCTTTGTCCACATAATTCCTCCTCCACCAAATTTCACAGTCGGCACAATGCAGTCTGAAATGTACCGTTCTCCTGGCAACCTCCAAACCCAGACTCGAATTATGGTGTGGGGTTGTTTTTCAGGAGCTGGGCTTGGCCCCTTAGTTCCAGTGAAAGGAACTTTGAATGCTTCAGGATACCAAAACATTTTGGACAATTCCATGCTCCCAACCTTGTGGGAACAGTTTGGAGCGGGCCCCTTCCTCTTCCAACATGACTGTGCACCAGTGCACAAAGCAAGGTCCATAAAGACATGGATGACAGAGTCTGGTGTGGATGAACTTGACTGGCCTGCACAGAGTCCTGACCTGAACCCGATAGAACACCTTTGGGATGAATTAGAGCGGAGACTGAGAGCCAGGCCTTCTCGACCAACATCAGTGTGTGACCTCACCAATGCGCTTTTGGAAGAATGGTCAAAAATTCCTATAAACACTCTCCTCAACCTTGTGGACAGTCTTCCCAGAAGAGTTGAAGCTGTAATAGCTGCAAAAGGTGGACCGACATCATATTGAACTCTGGGTTAGGAATGGGATGGCACTTCAGTTCATAGTATGAGTCAAGGCAGGTGAGCCAATACTTTTGGTAATATAGTGTATCTCCTCGAAAATAAATAAAATTGGATAAAAATAGTTTCCAGTGTGTTATCTTATTCTTCCTTGTTAATTATTAAATGTCCTTGGTAACCCAGAATCAGCTGATGCGGCACAGGGGTTACATTTCTTTTCACTTCCTTAAATTTCCCTGGGAACAAGTTGCTCTCCTCCCAGATAATTTGCTGATGATCATGTGACTGTGGCTAGAACATATTTGAGATAATTAAGAGAAGAATTCTATTTTACTTGAAAGGACAGAGGAATTGTGACTACTTAAGGTCAAAAGCATTCATCTCAGAAAGGTAGCTGACTTGCAATCACAAACATGAAATGATGAAAGGACATCCTAAATGAGACAAACGGTGCATGTTCATCTTGGATTAGATGAACATGCACCTAATTAAAAATAGATAAACACATGCTAAACATTAAATGCAGTGATAAATACAACAATCATTTTGCATAACATAGTCATTGTTGCTCAGAGCTATTTTGCTCTTTAGAGGAGAACTAAGGAAAATGGATGAAGCCTCAGAGCTGTTAGTCAGTAAATTACTTTCCAAAGACGTAACTGTTGACTACTACTTGAATGACTTGACTTTGACAAATTCATCACTCAGGGTGGTCTTAATATTCTTCTTTAAAAACTCTTTTATTTAAGGCAGACCTTGTGAGACATTTCTTTCTGGATCCCCCTCACAGTGTAGAAACTAATACTAGACAAAACCTGAAGATACCTGATGCCTGATACCTACAACCCCCAGGTTGTATTTTTTTTACATGGCTTACTACTATTACTACTACTATTTGAATGTGTAACTTTCTAAATTTAATGTCAAATGGTACTGGGCGATACAGTTAAAAAATAATTTGCTGATATCTTTTTTGTAAAGCTCAATTATATATAAAATGTCACAATATATACACAAACGCACATTCGAAATCACACAGGGATTTTATTTTAGATAATGCACATGTAAATAAAATATAGCAGATGCTCAACTTTTCCTACCACATTTCTGCAGTGTTTGATGTTTCATGACACTTGCAAGTGATAGCTTCATTTTTTTTTTCTGTGTGCAAACTGTGAGCTGAGCAAGTAGAGAGAGTGAGAGAGGCTGAGCAGACTGAAGTCAAAGACAGATAGAAATAAGAGAAACAGCATGAAAATGGCTCTTTTATAAAGCAAATTGTAAGTAATTTTAGAACAAGAGTGGCATATCCATATAAAAGATGGTTTAATCCTATATCGAGTATAAGTTGTATAGATATTTCTTAAAACTTTATGAATTGTCCATTACTGATGTCAAAGTTTGGGCAAGGCTTTTTGTGCTGACATTAGCAAATGTCATTCATGCATTCACTTGCATCATAAATTCATCAAATGTGTAAATGTTTGTCTATCTGTTGCTGCTGTGATGGGCTTTAACCTGCCCAAGTATCAAAAAAAAAAAATCAGCTGTATTTTCACCAAGACCCTTAAAAGGCTCAAGGATAACAAAGAAGGTTCACTGACTGGAAGTGAATGTACTCCCATAGACATAAAACAGATGTAGCTGCCAGCTAGCAAGTTTAAGACCGTTTGTGAATTTACATAATGGATTTATGAAGTATGATTTAAAAAAAAATGGTTTGGTATAATATGATAGATGGACAATTCAGTTAAGGTAGTGAATAGTTGTTAGAAAATGCTTTGCTAGAACACAGTCATGTTGCATCAAATTTCTGACAGTTGTCTTCTTAATATTTTTTACCAGTCATCAGCCAACTGCGGGGGTGGCATACACGCACCCCACTACGGTGGCCAGTTACACCGTTCATCAAGCTCCTATGTCGGCACACACAGTAGCAGCAGCGTATGCGCCCACTGCAGCCACAGTAGCTGTTGCTCGTCCTGCGCCTGTCGCTGTGGCAGCTGCTACAGCTGCTGCTTATGGAGGATACCAGCCAACACACACTGCCACAGACTATGGCTACACACAGCGCCAACCCGAGGTCCCTCCACCACCACCACCAGTAACTTCACAGAACTACCAGGTACATTCACCTACTGTATCTGTATACTGTATGATAGCAGTCAGTTTTCACAACCGTCCATACTGAAGACTGTTGGGTCCGTTTTGCAAAACCAGCCAATCAAATACTTACACAATACTTCCAGTTTATAGACAGGGAAAAGTACTCATCTAATGACTGTATTTTATCTTTTTGTTTTTTAAATGATTAGCAAATGGTAGCCTATTTGCAGGTTTGTAATTATATTGTCATATGACTAATTTAGATTAACTCTGCAGCACCAGTGGGACTTAATTTTAGATAGAGATGTCTTCAGTTTTTCTTCTGGTTCATCCATCTGCATGTAAGCACAAAATATAAATGGGATTTCATTTTCTTGATCTTTCATAAAATTTCTTGAACTTATATTTTCATCCATTTCTGCAGGATTCCTACTCGTATGTCCGCTCCACTGCTCCTGCTGTAGCCTACGACAGTAAACAGTATTACCAGCAGCCAACTGCTACAGCTGCTGTTGCTGCTGCTGCACAGCCTCAACCAAGTGTTGCAGATTCCTACTATCAAACAGGTCTGTAAGAGTGTTGTCAACATTTTATATTACTCATTAATTGTATATTTATTCTTCTTTTTTTTTTTCAGCCCCTAAACCAGGATATATCCAGGGTGTAACATCATACACCCAAAGCCAGCAGACACGACAGGTAACTGTGATAAAGCCTGCAGGTCCCAGTCCAGCCTCATCGACATTTTCCATCTACCCAGTGACATCCACTGTTCAGCCTGTGGCAGCCGCTGCTGCCGCCGCTTCTGTGGTCCCAACCTACTCTCAGAGTCCGACCTACAGCACCAATGCCGTCACTTACTCTGGTCAGTTTGCTGCTTTAATGGTACACACTTGTTTAGGCAAAACTAAAGGAAACTCAGTTGTCTGTCATTTTATGTTATGTTTATGTTATGTAACATGTTCACTCAAGAAGCGCTATTAACACTCTACTAGAGTCAGTGGGGAAAAAACAAGCCAAAACCTGTGAAGTTAATTTACATCAGCTTTAATACATTTGAAAACATTTTTTAATTGTGGATTAGGCAAGGATAATTTCTAATTTCTTTGCTACTTAGAAACCTGATTAGGTTTACTATAAAAAGTGTCATAACTGGGGATGGGGCCGAGCCGATCAAGTATAGGTATCGGCAGCCGATCCCGACGTAATTAGCGGATCGAAACGATCCGATCCAACCTGCAAAGAATTCCGATCCACGAACCATGTCTGAGATCCAGCCTTGTCTGATTTCCTACTAACAAACCCGCCGGCAGCACGCCGCAGTTCAGGAAATCCACTCAAAACTTTGCAGCCAGATAGCAGGCTGCAAAGAAATACGCCCGCTGTGTGGAAATATTAGAAAGGACCGAAAACCATAGCGCAACATGCGATATTTGCACAGCTGAAATTCGGAAAGGTGTAACTGTCTCTTCATACAATAGCACTAACTTAATTAAACATAAAAAGCGCTACATCAAAGAGGACGTGAATGCGCCATGGGGCAGAAAGACGTAAAGAGCCGCCGGGAGTCACTTCTGGAGTCGTTCCAAAGCAAGGTAAACTTCCGACAGATGAAGTACGAACTTGTACTCAGCGCAGTGATCTCCACTGTAGCAGACTTTATTCCAGCCGTGACCGTTTGAAAACTCCTGTTGGAGTGAGGAGAACAGCGCTGACAGCGAAATAAAAACAATGAAACGCACGCTCGTCCTGGACGTGCGATGCAAGGGCAGACGAGGCCCTTTTTTTTATTAATGCGCCAATTATTAATGTTTTCTAACTTTAAAAAAAGTCATATCCTTCTGAACTGCATGTTGTTGATGCACACGTTCTTGTAAGATGTTTACTTTGCACTTAATAAAATCCATACAGTTGCATATTTGTTTTAAGGATGGGGTTTTTCCTGGTAACATGATTTCCTGTATTTTTTACTTCTTTTTCTGACCTTATACGAACTTCAAGATGCCTTTTGGGAAATACATGCATATAATAATAATGTGACGGTTGGGGAATAATTAGTTATGTGTGTTTTACTTTTTCTGACTGTTGTTGGGTGCCTTGAACGCACCATGTTTTAGCGCACATACGCCGAGTGTTTTCGGTCCGTATCGTTAAGCCGACTGGTTTTAGAGCTTGAGTCAGTCAGTTCTGCACCGTGTGGTTTTGTCGTGCGCTGTGGCCGACAGCAGCGCTGATTCCAGGTAAATAATAAACCACTTCCTAATAAAATCACAAGCTGCCTCCGGTTCATTTTACCGCTCCGCTACAATAATATTAAACCAATAGTTTCAGTATCGGCCGATATCCAAATTCAAAATATCGGATCGGAAGTGAAAAATGTGGATCGGTGCATCCCTATTTATAACTATTAAAAGGTTTTAATGTGTTTTTGAATTTTCATTTTACAGGAACCACATACTCCGGATATGAAGCAGCTGTTTACTCTGCAGCCTCCAGCTACTACCAACAGCAGCAGCAGAAGCAGGCAGCTGCAACGGCAGCGTGGACTGGAAACACTTTAACTAAGAAACCACAGTTTCAGAGTAAACAGATTAGGCTAAAGCAACCCCCTAAACCCCCACAGATTCACTACTGTGACGTCTGTAAGATCAGCTGTGCTGGCCCTCAGGTGAGATCACTGACAATTCAAACAATTGCTTAGTCTTATTTTAGTCTAAATCATACAGTAAAAAAATATATGTGAGATTTGTCTGTGTTTCATTAAACCTTGTAGACCTATAAGGAGCATCTGGAAGGGCAGAAACATAAGAAGAAAGAAGCAGCTCTGAAGGTATCTCAGAGTAGCAGTAGCAGCAGCAGTGGTGGAGGAGTGTTGGCCCGCAATGGTCAGAACCAGCTTCGCTGTGAACTTTGTGATGTTTCCTGCACTGGTGCCGATGCCTATGCTGCTCATATCCGTGGAGCCAAACACCAGAAGGTATGAGTGGTTTTTATCACACTCCCTAAAAACTCTTGAACTTTTTAGATTTGTCAAAGGCAACTGTTAGCTCTGCAAAATCTTCACATTAAATGGAAAACAATTCAAATTTCTTTTCTGTAGGTGGTGAAGCTCCACACCAAACTTGGAAAGCCGATCCCATCGACTGAGCCCAGTATGGTAACGCAAACGTCCTCCTCCACCACAGCTGCATCAAGTAAGACCACCACATCTACCATGAGCAGTTCCAGTACCAGCATGTGTGTGGCTGCTCCCTCCTCTGCAGCAACCAGCTCCAGTGCCTCCTACCTAAAGCCAGTCAACATAGTCAGTAGTGGAATCACAGGCGTCAAGAGTACATTGACCAACAGCCACTCTGCATCAGCTGTTAAGAAAGTGACCATCCCCAAGATCAACTTTGTAGGTGGTAATAAATTGCAGACCACTGTCAAGATGGATGAGACAAGAGCAGAGACCAAAATGGAAACCTCCAAACCTTTAACATCCACTTGTGGTGTAGAAGACCCCAAAACTGACATTGCAGATCTGTCTGCATCTGCTCTGGCTGGTCTTCAGAACGACATTCAGCCTGTCGGCCATGATTATGTTGAAGAAGTAAGTGCTGATAGACAGAGCATTGAGATAAACCTCACCACAGATGCAGAGAAGAAATGTCCTTCAAATCTATTTGTAACACGTGAAACTTGTGTATAGGTTCGAAATGATGAAGGCAAAGTCATACGCTTCCATTGCAAGCTGTGTGAATGTAGTTTTAATGACCCCAACGCAAAAGAAATGCATCTAAAAGGGCGACGGCACCGCCTACAGTACAAGGTTTGTAACCAAAGTGTAATTGAAGTCAGAAGATTTGAAATGGGACGTAAAAACAACTTTTAATGTTTTGTAGAAAAAAGTAAACCCAGATCTTCAAGTAGAGGTGAAGCCCAGCATCCGAGCTCGAAAGATTCAGGAAGAGAAGATGAGAAAGCAGATGCAAAAGGAGGAATACTGGAGGAGAAGAGAGGAAGAAGAGTGCTGGAGGATGGAAATGAGGTATAACATATATATCTTATTAATTACTGGTTGAAGGTAGACCGGGTCTTATGTAAGTAGTTGAACCTGATACTTATCTCTGGTTTTCCCTCTCAGGCGTTATGAGGAGGACATGTACTGGAGACGCATGGAGGAGGAGCAGCACCACTGGGATGACCGTCTTCGTCTACCAGATGGAGCATATCCACAGGGACCTCCCGGACCCCCTGGTCTACTAGGAGTCAGACCTGGCATGCCTGGCCTGCAGCCTCAAGGGCCTGTGGTAGGAACTGGCATTCACCAGTTTAGTATATTCCCAAAGACTAATTATTTTTGTTAGTCATGTCATAAACAACCTTTATCTTTAGCTGTATTTACATAAAGAAAGAATAATAAGAATAAGCCTGGTCAGGGAAAAAATACTCAAGTCAACAAAAAAGTCAGGAGGGTCTGTCTAATACAGCTCGTTAGGACAACAAAGTGCAACACTTGTGATGTCAAAGTTATTCCTGCAGCATTTATGAGGAAATTTCTAATCATTAATGGAGTCATTGATAAAGTGAAGAACTCAAATGTATTTTCCACATCTGCGAGACAAGTATAAATGTGCTTTGTTTCCTGATTATTTTACTAATCTTTCCAATTTTGCATAGAAGCAACTGTTTTATTCACATGATTTCTGAATTGTTTTTCTAAACATCGTGGCTCATTTGGGGAAAAAATATTGTGTACATTCTGCATCTTTCAGCCTCCACGTCGTCCTGACTCTTCAGACGATCGCTATGTCATGATAAAGCACGCAGCCATTTATCCATCAGAGGATGAGCTCCAGTCCATCCAGAAGATCGTGTCAATCACAGAACGGGCCCTAAAACTGGTCTCAGACATAATCACAGACCAGGACAAGACCAAAGAAGATGACAAAGAAAAGAAGGAAGCCTGTAAAGACAGGTAGGATACCCAGACCACTTCTGAATGACTGACTGCATCTTACATGCATTTCTGACTCTTATGACTGAGCCTTGTAGTATTTTATACTTTTAAAGCAAAAGTTTTAATGGTTACTCACCCCATTGCAAGTATGCTAATAATATACATTTTCCTTTTGTCCAGAGCCCTGAAGGGAGTGATGAGGGTAGGGGTTCTGGCCAAAGGTTTGCTTCTACATGGAGACAAAAATGTCAATTTGGTCCTGCTCTGCTTAGAAAAACCCAACGAGAGCCTTCTGACCCGCATTGTTGAGCATCTTCCCAAGCAGCTGACGGTACTGTTGTGACAAATTTGCCCCCTTTTTTGTGACTGTAAACGGGAGCTGTCATTGTCATTGCCATCTCCCCAATCACTTCCAGGTAGTGACACCAGAGAGGTACGAGGTCAAAGGATCCATCCAGGAAGCAGCCATCATCCTGACGTCCTGCACAGAGCCAAAGATGCAAGTGACAATCACGCTGACTTCACCCATCATCAGAGAGGAAACTGGTCGGGATGGAGGTTGGGAAACTCCTCAACAGCCTTTTTCTCCATTGCACCTCTTTTCTTGTCCCTTTGCTCTCCCCTCTATGAAATCAGTTTCACTATGGTGGTTGACATCTTGAAGAGCACTGTCCTGCTGGCACTCCACTTTGTTTTGTTACTGGGTTGGGCTTTAAATGCGACCCTCCCACCCCCTGGAAGTTTGCACTTTGTGAATGATTCATTTTGATTTTTCTGAAATTATAAATGACGAGCCAAGTGAGGAAGTGCAATCCATCATTGTTGCTGACATTAGTTGTGGTTTCTCTCCATCAGGGCATAGCACTAGCACAGACATAGCTTCAGCTTCACCCTTTTTTAAATTCAAATAGAAAACCAGTAAATAACATTAAATCTTGATAATATACTGTAGGTTTATACAGACACCATGCCACAGATCAAGTGTATTACATAACTTAAAAGAAGTGCCAGCAGTATTGCTCTTGTGCTTTTGGCTCTATAACTCTTACCTCTCAAATGCTCTCTTTATCCTTTGAAACAAGCATGATCAGTGTTTGCATTGTGTTAAGTCTAGTTATTCCCAGGTGAGATTCTGTTTTGTTTCCTGTGTTCCAGGGGATTCTTTTTATTATTATTATTATTTAACCGATGGCTGCAATTAATGGGAGACATGCATTATTGTAGTATCTACTGTCCAAATTTTCTTTGACATGAGGCAAAAGTTCATCTGATATGCAGAAGTTAACAGAAAGTTGATGACAGGAGATTTAATTTGTCATGACCAATTTGGAATTATTAGATCTAAGATATTTGATTCTTTTTTTTCTTCTTCCACATATTTGTAAATCCCATACAGAGGAAAATGGATGTTTAAATTCCCACAGGAAACAAATATTCCTTTGTGTATTGGTGGATGGTTCACCAGGCTAAAGATCCCTGTTTTGAAGTGCTCCCCTGAGTTGACATTTTTTATACACTCATAAATATCATATCGGCTCAAAACTAAGCTCATTGATCACTGCCAATGGTAAGACAAGGGCAGACAAATCACAATGTGGACCATATTTTATGTCTAAATCATTTGACAATGGAATATGTGCAGTATTGTTTTGAAATCTGATTGTTTCCAACTTACTTAGTTGGAAACAATCAGATTATTGTTAGGGGAGAATTGTTAAGAGTTCAGGTAAGATGGCTGACGAAGGCTTCTTTGATTGGAGCCCAGAGCAGCCGTTGGTAAACAATTATTGTTGGGCTCTTACTCCAACCTAATGATTTTAGGTATGCACGCAGCAATAGCCTAACCCCATTTGTTTGCTGTTAGTTCTCATGTTTTCTCTTCTTCAGCACCCATCACTTGTTCTTTTTTATTTATTTATTTTAATATAAATATTTGAACAACTTTTAAATGGCCAGGAAAAAAAACAAACAAAAGTGAGGAAAAAAATTCCAAATCCCTTTGTCTCCCATTGGACGATTCAGTAGACCCAACTGCTTCGGAAGGATTTTTGACCAAGGTTGTATAACATCCCAAAAACTTTGCCACACCTACTACTGCATTGCCACTTTTTTATCAGGTCACTAAGCTCTTCTGTTTTGCTGCTGCAGTCATACAACCATCATTAGCCACAGTAGCTGGCCCAAAGAACAGCTACTAAAATGTCATTACTATGGTTCTCATGAAGGTTTGCATACAATTACCTGATAAAATAGCATTGGCTTCAAAAGCAGTGAGCCCACACGTATGTTGTTTAGCCAGATAGACACCACGTCCCTATTCAGTGCTGATTTCTGTATATTCAGTTTTTACATGGATGTCTGTATGTTTTTATGAAATTACTGAATAATGGGCAACCAATTGTAGTTTGTTTCAGGAAACAGAAACACTGGTATGTGTGGCATTGTTTGTTCTCTGCCAGCCTTACTGACCTGGTCAAACACCCATTCCTCATCACCATTTTGATCCTTGAAATCCATTTTTAGATGTAACCTCGGGTATGGTAAAGGACCCAGTGGACGTCTTGGACAGGCAAATATGCCTTGACGCTCTGGCTGCTCTGCGCCACGCTAAGTGGTTCCAGGTTCGGAACATCATTTTACTTTCTTACTGTAGCCTTATGAGATACATTATTTGTTTAATGGTTCTTCTGTGTTTTCTTTACACATCTAGTTTTTCATTTGATCATGAAAAAAGTGATTACAATTGCAACTATTATTTAGAGTTAAAACCTCTTCAAGGATGCCTCTTATGGAAAAAGTAATTTGGTAACAGTCTGCGAGGTAAACCATTTACAAATCTAAGTTAAACTGGAGCTTTTATGGACCAAAAAAAATTGGCATCCTTGTATTTTATTTTTGTCAAATTTCCAAGTACTGCGTCATGGTAACTTGTGATTCCATAAGGCTGCACAAAACTTGCACAAGGTTGTCGAAGGACTTTACAAGGGTTAAACTGAAGCTTTTATGGACCAAAAAAGATTTAAAAAAATACAAATTGGCATCCTTGTATTCTATTTTTGTCAAATTTCCAAGTATTGCCTCATGGTAGCGTGATTCCATAAGGCTGCACAAAACTTGCACAAGGTTGTGCCATTAAAAGTGTTTTCATGTTCAACATTTGTATTGTTTTGATTCTAGATATTTTGTACAATAGGGACTGAGGGGAAGAGGAATATCTGTGTGGTTTCCTGTGATTCTGCTACCTGAGCAGAAGTACAGGAAAAGTGGTGCAGATCTCCTTTGCTTTTTCAGTCCCTAAACTCTCAGGTGGACCCTTGTACTTTTGAAGTACCTGTTTGTGAGATACCTGGATAAACCTGGGACCAGGGTTTAGAAGATGGCAAGAAATGTCTCAATTTCTTGTGCAGCTTGCAAACTTTGAGTTCCCTTACTAACTATGAGGTACAAGACTACTGGGAATGGCAGCTGATTGCAAACTTGAACAGATTTCAAACCGTACTCAAGCTTCCATTATGCACAGTAGTGTTTGGACCTCTATGACAGAAGTGATTCAGTTGTTTGGTCCATCTTTTGTTTTGTATGGTGGCTTCGTAAACCTAACTTTTATTGCATCAAAAGGCTAGAGCTAATGGACTTCAATCCTGTGTGATCATCATTCGAATTCTGAGAGACCTTTGTCAGCGGGTTCCTACCTGGTCATCCTTTCCTGGATGGGTGAGTGTGTTGTTGAAACCTTCGATGCTATTGATGTAATACATTGAATAAATGGTCATTATGATAGTGTGTGTGTATGTGTATATGTATATATATATATATGTATATGTGTATATATGTATGTATATATATGTGTGTATATATATATATATGTGTATATGTGTGTGTGTATATATATATGTGTGTATATATGTGTTACACATATATACATATATATACACATATATACATATATATACACATATATACATATATATACACATATATACATATATATACACATATATACATATATATACACATATATACATATATACACTGTGTTCTAACTGTGTTCAGGCCATGGAGCTGCTGGTGGAGAAGGCCATCAGCAGTGCCTCTGCACCACTCAGTCCAGGTGATGCACTGAGACATGTCTTTGAATGTATTTCTTCTGGAATCCTACTCTCCGGTAAATCTCTTTTAAATATAGATTCATTACTTTTATTATTGTGATATCATTAAAGAGCAAGTGCCCTTGTTTTGATGCTGCAATTTTTATCATTACGTTTATCTACATTTTATTTTAGTACAATCATTTTATTCAATCATTTTATTGTGCAACTGTTGCTGCTGATGCTGTGCTGTATGCACAGCATCTTCCAGTTTACCACAACTGCCAAACCCTAATACTAAGACAAATTATTCTAAACTTGTTTTTCTGTAACAGACTAGATCAAATGTTGGCAGTGGCTAATAGCTTTGGATATATATTAGATTTAATTACCATTTTTTTCGGACTATAAATTGCACTTTTTTTTTCATCCTATGCCTGGGTTTATGACATATACTGAGTTGCAATTTATAGATTAAAATATATAATTTCACGTGTGTGTTATTTTCACACTGACAGCCGCGAAAGGGCACAATAGGCTTGTGTACCAGTATTCTACTCCTGTACCACTGAAAATGTACATGTTTTGCAATGTTTCATTATGCATTTATTTGGCATGCAACTGTTGTAGAAATTTTTATATAATTTGAAGAAATGAAGAGTCAACAGAGTTTGCCTTTGGATTTATTCTAAGCATCTTAGCCAAGAGAGCCAAACCTAACTCTGTCTAATACAGCTGTTGGACTCGACTGGCCTCCTGTTAGGCGAGCTCTCCCATGTGGTTACATGGTTACATCACACAGCCATTAAGTTTCGGTTCAAACAAAGTATACAAGTGTTAGACTTCAACTGGATTAAGAAGTTTCCCTCTAAGTGGTCATAAAACAGTCATCCTTGTGCAAACCTGGTAAGGAGGACAAGTACTCCACGTCTGGTTAAAATCACAAACAAACAAATACATTCTTCATGCTTACAGACAATCCTGCAGGTGCAGCTAAGAGAACAACTATCTCAAAGTCAATATACTACAAGTGTAGCCCAAACAATTATTTTGCACATAATCAATACATTTCCATTCAGTTTAAACACAAATAAAACATTTTCATGCACACAACTCATACTTCGAAAGGACTTAGTCAGGTCTATAAATATTGGGACATTGATACAATTCTAATCTTTTTGGCTCTCTACACCACCACAATAGATTTGAAATAAAATGAGCAAGATGTGATTTAACTGCAGACTTTCAGCTTTAATTTGAGGGTATTTACATCCAAATCAGGTGGGGGGAAAAAAAGAAAAAATGTGACTCCCACTTTTTAAGGGACCAAAAGTAATGAGACAATCGACTGCTCAGCTGTTCCATGGCCAGGTGTGTGTGTTATTCTGTTAGTATCCCATTTTCCCAGGAGCAGATAAAAAGTCCAGAGGGCATTTCAAGTATGCTATTTGCATTTGGAATCTGTTGCTGTCAACTCTCAATATGAGATCTAAAGAGCCGTCACGATCAGCAAAGCAAACCATCATTCGGCTGAAAAATCAAAACAAACCCATCAAAGAGATAGCAAAAACATTAGGTGTGGCCAAATCAACTGTTTGGAACATTCTTAAAAAGAAAGAACGCACCAGTGGGCTGAGCAACACCAAAATACCCGGAAGACCATGGAAAACAACTGTAGTGGATGACCGAAGAATTCTTTCCCTGGTGAAGAAAACACCCTTCACAACAGTTGGCCAGATCAAGAACTCTCTCCAGGAGGTAGTATTGTAGAAAGGGATGTCTACAACTGAGGCAGATCAGGACACACTTCTCTCTCGGGGGATTTATTGTATTAAAGGTTTCTGACCATGACAGGTTCAACAATGAATCTCATCTGAACATTCACCAACAAATACTACCTTCTGATACATGTTGATCCTCTTTATAGACACAGACGAACAGGATGGTACATAACATTTGGCTCACATTTGGCTAGTAACCGGATAAACATGGTCATTTACCCAGGTCAGCTTGACCTGTTCGTGCCTGTGCCTGTCTCCTGGCTTCCTGTTATTCTGAGTTGGCCCTTACATATTATTTTACCATATTTCCCCACCACAGTAGGTGTGTGTCAAAGTCAACAATCAAGAGAAGACTTCACCAGAGTGAATACAGAGGGTTCACCACAAGATGTAAACCATTAGTGAGCTTCAAAAACAGGAAGGCCAGATTACAATTTGCCAAACAACATCTAAAAAAGCCTTCACAGTTCTGGAACAACATCCTATGGACAGATGAGACAAAGATCAACTTGTACCAGAGTGATGGGAAGAGAAGAGTATAGAGAAGGAAAGGAACTGCTCATGATCCAAAGCATACCACCTCATCAGCGAAGCGTGGTAGTGTCATGGCGTGAGCATGTATGGCTGCCAATGGAACTGGTTCCCTTGTATTTATTGATGATATGACTGCTGACAAAAGCAGCAGGATGAATTCTGAAGTGTTTCGGACAATATTATCTGCTCATATTCAGCCAGATGCTTCAGAACTCATTGGACGGCACTTAACAGTGCAGATGGACAATGATCAAAGGCAAGGAAGTGGGGAATGTTATGCAATGGCCAAGTCAATCACCTGATCTGAATCCGATTGAGCATGGATTTCACTTGCTGAAGACATAACTGAAAGGAAAATGCTCCAAAAACAAGCAGGAACTGAAGACAGTTGCAGTAGAGGCCTGGCAGAGCATCACCAAGGATGAAACCCAGCGTCTGGTGATGTCTATGCGTTCCAGACTTCAGGCTTTCAGTAACTGCAAAGGATTTGCAACCAAGTATTAAAAAAGTGAAAGTTTGATTTATGATTGTTAATTTGTCCCATTACTTTTGATCCCTTAAAAAGTGGGAGGCACACCTACACCGTTCACCTGATTTGGATGTAAATACTCTCAAATTAAAGCTGCAGTTAAAGCACATCTTGTTTATTTTATTTCAAATCCCATGTGGTGTAGAGAGCCAAAAAGATTAGAATTGTGTCAATGTCCCAATATTTATGGACCTGACTGTATAGTCTGGAAAATACACTAATTTATTTCAAGATGAGATTTACAAGAAATATTTAAACTGGTACCGTCTGAACGGAATACTGCTGCCATTAATTTCATTAAGTTAATCATGCGATAAAAAACATTTAATTGTTGTCCAACACTAGTTAATGTACACACACAAACAATTTGTGCATTTAATTATATTGTACACACACAATTCAATGCATAATGAGTGTAATATCCTCCCACAGGTGGACCTGGGTTGGTAGATCCATGTGAAAAGAAGCCTGTGGACACATTGTCAACCATGGGTGAGCAGCAGAGGGAGGACATCACCTCCAGTGCTCAGGTACAAGCTGCTAGCCTTCTAACAACCTCAGAGACTGTCACTCAATCAATCTTACAACAACATTAACAAACGCAGAGTTTTTGAATAGCAAAAAAAAAAACAAAAAAAAAAAAAACAAGTGTTCATATGTACCTTTTCCACTGGCCTTGGTTCTCATACATCGAAACACCAATGCTTCATGTAAAAAATGGTATGATTCCCCTAGTGGACTACTCGTGTTCTTTTCTCCATACAGTTAGCTCTGAGGCTGCTGGCGTTCCGTCAAATCCACAAAGTGTTGGGCATGGACCCTCTACCACAGATGAACCAACGCTTCAATGTCCGCAACAGCCGCAAGCGACGTCATGAAAGCAACGACGGCACAGACAGCTTTGAAGGTGAAGGCAAAAAAGACAAGAAAGATTATGATAGTGCGGGTCTTTGTTAAATTGACATCTACAAAACGGTTATATGCGCTGTCGCCTGTGTATTGGGTTCATTTTGTTTAAGCTACAAATTTTCCTGTGTAATTTCAGCTTCATTTATTAAGTATTACGCAAATGTCAGTGTAATTTTTTGGTTGTAGATTATATTGGGTTTTTTTTGCCTAATGTTACAGTGAGACCTCTGTCTAGTAGATTACATCTGTTCTCCTTAATTAAATGTGTTAAAAAAAATAAAGTGGCTTGAGGGTGTGGCACCGCTGCCCACTAACAGAATCTCTGTATTGTTGTTACTGTTGTGAGACATTTCTTCGGCTGACATCTTTCTGTTGAATATTAATGATAACTGTATTAATACAAGTCATCTTGATGCTGTTGTCTTATCTCCTGATGCTACTCTAATGAGAAGTGAAGTGTGTATTAACTCCCTTGAGGAACATGAACTGCACATTCTTTACATAAAAGACCATTCAGGGCATTTTATCAAAGCTTTTCTGGCAATTTCCATTATATATGGAAAATATTTGTATAATATTTAGATTTTAAAAGGTTTGATTTGTGGAAAATATGGTAATAACTAAATAGATTTGACTTTTAAAATAATTAAAATAAAAATAAATAATAATAAATAATTAAAATAATTTTACTGGTTTGTAAGGATCTTTACTAGCTTGCCTTTTCAGTTTGATTGGTTACTAATTTAAAAATATTAAAAACAAAGATAAATTACAGTGATAATCGTTGGTGGGAAAAATACTGACATGCTCATTTTCAGTTCAAAGTCCTGATGTGAACAGCTGCTCGCCTCTGCATTCTGCTTAAACAATTCCATTAGCAGAATAAATACAGTTCTCGATGACAGATCTTGTCCTCTCTTTACTGGGTTTCTGTTGGAAGAATTTAATTTATTATCATTGCTTCATGCTGTACTGTCGCTTTAAGAAACTGTTTGCTTCTCATATTATAATCTAGTGTGCTCAAGACTGATGGAGAAATTACCAGACACAGTCACACCCCCATCACATGATATGTAATCTGATACGTTTATAAACTCAATAAAAGTGCAGAGGAAGGGTGTGGCTACTCGGAGTTGATGAGGAAGCTGCCAGAAGAGTAAGCTGCACTCTCCCCTTGCAAGTAAAAAATCAAGACGTCTTTTGTGTTGTTACTTTGTCGTCATATACAGTGCCTATCATAATTATTCACCCCCTTGGATGTTTTACCCTTTTAGTTCTTTCATAAATCAATCATGGTCAATAAAATTTGGCTTTTTTAACACAAACATTTATTGGAAAAAACTCTTTAATGTCAAAGTGAAAACAGATTTCTACAAAGTAATGTCAAT